AAATGTGGGTATAAGAGTGAGTATAAAGATCATTTTTGAACGGTATTTTCACACCATGGTTGTATGTTATTTTACGAATAGAAATTTTTAGAATAGTTAGATAATTTAAAATACTTTAAGCTGTTAGAATGCAATTAACATTCTAAAATTTCATTTTGTGAAATTAAAAATATTACATTCAGTACAATTTAATTTTAATTACATCCTCATAAATGTTTTTCATATTTTAAATTATGTACTTTTAAGTTTTAACATATAAAATTATATTTGTGAAAAATACATGATCATGCTGTTAACATAAATTTTTATATAAAGTTTGAGGTATACATAGTATGAGGAATGTTCATGTCAGGCCGGCCTGACGGGCTGCTCCGTCCGGCCGAGCCCGTTTGGGCACCTTCCCGGTGGAATTTTTTGATGAATTTTTTTGAGCATGTTCCTCATCAAGTCTAGTTTGTCCATACCAAATTTCAGCTCAAAATTCGATCGGGAAGGCATTCAAATCATTTTTTGAAGTTGACTGCAGTTTTATATGTATATTTTGATGCAGTCAACTTCAAAAAATGATTTGAATGCCTTCCGGATCGAATTTTGAGCTGAAATTTGGTATGGACAAACTAGACTTGATGGGGAACATGCTCAAAAAATTTCATCAAAAAATTCCACCGGGAAGGTGCCCAAATGGGCTCGTCCGGACGGAGCATCCCGTCAGGCCGGCCTGATGAGAAGAGCACTCTACATAGTATATATTACGGAGTATAAGTGCAAGTTTAAGTTACTTATCTCACACCCCTTCAAAATTTGAGATATTTAAATTATTTTTCCCTTTTATATAACATTTTTTGACTGTTTATAACATTTCTATTTAGTTGTTAATATGCCATTATTTTGATTTGTTTACATTGAAGGGTATGTTTTTCAAAAATATTACTCCGTAAGTTTTATCATTTTCTGTAGAAGAAGTATTGAGTAGGGGTGGCAAACGGTATAGGAATTGCGGGTCGGATCGAGTAATACAGGTTTAGACATATTAGGGTCGGTCCCAATTTTAGAAACCTCAAACGGGGTAGTGTGGATCTTACAAAATTTAAGAACCGAGTGAGTCTTAAAATTTGAAAACACGAATACTTAGATTGAACTGTTTTAAAATATTACTTTAATAAAACTTTATTATATTTAATATAATATACTTATAACACCCCAAAATTCTTCATATTTTTTTGTGTATAGAAAAAGACTCTCAATTGAAGAAATTTGTGGCTCTATACTTCTAAATTATTATCCCCAATTGTCGACTCTAAATGCATCAAAAGATATTTTTTTGTAAATAAAGGCTCACTAAATGAAATGTGACCTAGTCATTTAATTATCTTAATTTTACTTATATTTTGGATTTATTAAACTTTAAATTTTTCTCTTAGACATATGTATGGTGACTAGTTTATTTTTTTATGACTTTGTGACTATTTTTTTGTTCATGGATGTTGATGTCTAATTTTCTATATTTCAAATTTGAGGTTGTTTAATTTGTATGGTGCAATTTTTTATGACTTTGTGATGCTATTTTTTTTGTTCATGGATGTTGATGTCTAATTTTCTATATTTCAAATTTGAGGTTGTTTAATTTGTATGGGTGCATTTATTGAACTTATAGATTTGTGGTTAGATATTTTATTTAATTTAAAAATATGTCTTCTATTTTCATTTTGAATTTTTGCTGTATTATGATGACATTGACACATTGTCACATTGATACTCCTTCCGTCCCAAAAAATTGTTCCACTTTCCTTTTTTGGAAAGTTTTATGTGGCTCACATTCATTTACATTTTTCTTACACAACCACAACCATACATTTCCACTTTATTCCCACTTTCTTAAATTCCTATCCAAGTCAATGCAGGAACAATTTTATGGGACGGAGGGAGTATATATTTAGTATGAGAATATACTTAGACTAGTATCTTTACCCGTGCCGTGCACGGGATGAAATGAATTTTTTAGTTTTGCTATATGGTGCGCTCACGTTGGCATATGTATAATGTATGAACTAATATATTTAACGGAAAATCGTTTATTTAGTCGATTATAACATTGGTTGATAATGCATGTTCTTATTTATTGATTATATCTTATTTTCAATCTAATTATCTAAACAAGTTCTCATCCTATATTTAATTTTCCTATTAAAAGAGTCATCTTTTTATAACTCTCAATTGCATCCAAATGAAATTATTTTTTCAATCATCTTATCTGAATAGAAAAAGAAATTGGAGTGAGCCGGTATATGGAATTTTTTCAGATAAATTTTACACATAAATTTTTACACTAAAAGTACAAAGAACTTAAAATTTTGGGGTGGCCCGTGACCCGGTTGCCCCTACCTCTGCCCCTGAATGATTTTGTTTTAGTTTTTTACTATATATGTGTGTGCGCGAGCACACTGATGTATGAGTTATTAGAACTAATGGAAAGTCTCTTATTTAGTCGATTATAACATTGGTTGATAATGTATATATTCTTATTTATTGAGTATGTTTTTATTTTTAACTAATTATTTAAACATGTTCTCAGTCTATATTATCTCATATTTAAAAGAGATAACTTTTTATAACTCTTGTCTGTGACGAACGCAAAAATTTCCGCTAAAAGGGGGCAACAATGTAAAATTATACGAAGTACTGAGTACATACAAATACATACTCGTATATATTAAAATTCATGGGTAAATATATATGGCTAGTAAAAGGGGAGGGGGCATTAACCCCCAGGTCCGCCGCTGACTCTTGCTGCATCCAAATGAACTTCGTCTTTTCAATCATTTTTATCTAAACACAAAAAAAGAACATACAGCGAAATTGTGTTAATTGGCTTTGAGTAAAATGTCTAAAGTATGAGTCTAAAATTTATATATGTAGTGAGAGATAGGATGTTTTCACACGTCAATTTGGGTCTGTCTGGTCTGATCTGTTGTAAGTATGATCTAGACTGGTCTGGTCTAAAATTGAAATCTTCAGGTTCGTTCTGCCTGGTCTGATATGTTTAAGTATGGTCTAGACTGGTCTCATATGAACTGATCTAATACATGTTTGTTCAATGTGTACTTTACAACTGTCGAATTCTGACTTGTTTTGATCTAACAATAGTTGTAGTAGCATTTAAAAAAATAGATACTTTTAAAACTGTTTAAATATTTTTTTATCTTTATATTTTCAATATTGATAGCATATAAAAAATAATTAAAAAATTATGATTTTAGATATATATTTTTTTGTAACAATCAGAGTACAATATAAAATAGTTATATAAATTTAAACAAATAGATGTTTTTGAGTGTTAAATTGTTTTTTATTTTTGTATATTTAATATTGGTGTCATTTGAAAGATAAAAAAAAGTTATGAAGTTTGGTAAAAATTTTGTAACAATCCGAATACAAATGAAAAGTTATGACGCTTTAAAAAAATATGAAATTAATGAGAGTTTGAATTCTAATCTAACATGGTTCTAAATTTTAGCAATTCTTATGTACGTACGTCAGTTCGTATACCGTGGGATCATCCCACGGTGAGCATCATGTTCCCACTCCCAAAACGACGTAGTTTTGCACAATCTTTAAAAAAAATCGTGTAAACAGTACACGCGTGTACAGTAACTGTTTTTTCCTTCTTTTTGTCCGAGTGGCAGGAATGATGTAACTCACATGTAAATATATGTAACTCACGTTATTGATCAATGTAACTTAAGTCCAGTTGAAATGTAACTTTGTCAAATACATAGTATAAGAAGTAAACTTTGATTTAAATGTAAATAATGATAAAAAAGATGTCAAATTGTTTTACATAAATAGTGTTATTTATATGTAAATATGTTTTGTTTTTAATATCAGGGCTATAAAAATGATTTTTTTATGAAAATGATTTGTCTTTGAATAACAGGGGTTTATTATGTTGTGTAACTCGCATTATATTGCGGTGTAACTCGCATTATGGAAAATGTAATTCACGCGTAAGTAAGATGTAACTTGCTGAGAAAAGTTGACATGTAACTCACGCTAATAAATATGTAACTTAAGATAAATAGAAATGTAAATTACGTTAATAAAAATGTAAGTTGAACCAAATCAAAATGTAAGGTATATAATATATATATATATATATATATATATATATATATATACACACACACACTCTAATGCTCTATACTCTATATATAAAATTTGCATCTTTCCTTCTCTTCAAATACTCCGTATATGTATCAATTTAATCAGTGGGATGCTTTTTACTTTTGTTGGATGAGTAAAAAAGACAGCCGCAGAGCTCTAGCCAACACAAAGGAGCTCGTCATCATCTATGTCGGTGAAACAAAAGGGCATGCGACTGGATGGATCTCAATTCGGAGTGGATCAACACGAAGTGGATCTCAATATGGGGTGCGCCCGTCTCCAACGACAGCAACCATACAACTCCAGACGACGAGAACTCCTTCCTTCTGAGCCGACTTGCTCTCCTTTTTAATTAACAAAACTATGTCGTTTTGGGATCGGCACACCATGCGGATGGTGGGCCGATCCCACGGTATAATTTGCGTACGTATGTAAGGTCTTTTAAAATTTAAATAGTTCTAAATTTTAGGAATTTTAATTCGTATGTAAAGAGTAATAGAGATAAGTAATTCTAAATTAGGGAGAGGACCTAGATAATCATAATGAATGAGTTGCTCAAAACATGACACATGACAAAAATCTTTATATTTGTAATTTGCTAGCGGAGTGATGTTTTTACAAAAAGGAATTGAGAATTTATGATGTTTTCTTTTGCATCAAAATTTGCTGATCTAGTATAATGTAATTTAAACTGGTTTAGTCTGGTCTGGTAAAACCATTGTAATTATTACGAAAGTGATCTGTTTCAAATGTGCTAGGATCGAATCCATTCATTCAATGAAATTGACGATTGTTCATTCAGTCAGACCGGACTGAGTCAGACCGTGCCCACCCCGAGTACCTGAATTGATTCTTACCGGAATGTATAAAAATTAGATAAACTGGACGGAGCTTGTATGAACTATTACCATGATTGACTTTGTTGAGAGTGCAGTGATGGAGATGATGGGACATGATAACGTAGAAGATGGACATCATGTTGCCTGAGGTGGTGTTATCGTCAACCACCACAGGGCAATTTCGTTCCGACCGTTATGGAAGGTGAAGTTTCACAGTAAGAAACTCAATGAGGAGCTTTTTCTTCGACTCCATGAATCCTTCACGACCACCTCTATCTCAATATCTCTTAAAACCACCATCGACCTTCAGGAAGAAACTCAATGCCTGCTTTGCGTCATTATTCGAACTTTCCCCAACCCGCCCCATCTCTGCATCTTCTTCTCTCGGCCAATTCGCCTCCTATTTCTCACAAGTAAGAGGATTTTCAAGTTCTCCAGATGGATCTTCCACAACCCGCGGTCCCATTCGGATTGTTTCGTCTGATAACTCATCAGACTCCCCTAACACTCCCATTGATGCGGGTTCTTCAATTCGAAAGCCTACCAGTTTTTGGCCAGGAGTGTACCATTCACCTGCGACTAAAGCCCTGTGGGAAGCAAGATCGAGTACTTTTGAGAAGCTTTCTCATGCCACCTCTGATGCCCCTCCCCAGAGTGAACTTATCACCAAGAATCCTAGAATTAGCAGGACTAGTGTGTTCTACCCGTTCTCCACCGATTATGATCTGAGAGAACAGTATAGGAACCCTTGGAATATGATAAGGATGGGAAGGCTAGTTGAAGACCTTGATGCTCTGGCCGGAACAATATCTTACAAGGTAAGAGTATGAGAAACTCGGACAGCTTATTGTTGGATTCCTATAGAATGTGCTACTCTGTTTTCAGGTTGGTCATTAGTTTTTACATCTATATTGTGGATTCTCATTCACTACTTTAATTGTTTTTTGGATTTTGGTTTTCCCTTCATCTCGGTTGCTATATTGTCGAGCATCGTAAAGATTTTGCCATCATATCATACATTACATTATTTCAACTATTCATTACATTTCCATTGTCTGGGGTAGTTAGGAAGTTTTCATTTCTGTGCCACACCTAGATTTACTTGGGAATGTGACATAGGTCGTGGGGTGGGTCGGGTTAGAAGTAAGCTTGTAGCAGTTGGAACTTACTGAGATGCACTTTTAGAATGTAGCTTTGCTGTACTCAGGGCGGATCCAGAAACTTTGGTTGAGCCGGGCCGAAGAATAATTATACTCCCTCCGTCCCAATATAAAGAGCACATTTGCGTTTTCATACGTTTTTAGGAGAAACACTGTTTGGACACTGTTTGGCACTCTTTGGACACTGTTTGGTTTGGCACTGTTTTGCACTGTTTTGTTTACCAAAAAGGGAAATGTGCCTTTTATATTGGGATGACCCAAAAAGGAAAGTGTGCCTTTTATATTGGGATGGAGCGAGTACTAGGTTTTAACATTAGCGGGTGGGCTAAATATGAAAAATGATAAAATTTACTCTAAAAAAAATGGAAAAAATTATATTGCCCTGAGCTTCACAGCTTCACCCCACCATGACCCTAGCGTACATCCTTCTCTGGCTTTATTTTCTTATTCTAGCATGATTTGTCCATACTGCTATAATCTATACCTCAAATGGTTTAGAAAGCCCTATTTCAACATTCTAATTCCTTTCTATGCAATACAGCACTGCTCAGATAATGATAGCACAACTAGGCCATTATTACTAGTTACTGCTTCTGTTGACAAGATGGTTTTGAAGAAACCGATTCACATCGATTTGGATTTGAATATTGAGGGGGCTGTTACATGGGTTGGGAGATCATCGATGGAGATACAATTGAAGGTGACCCAAAACTCACCAGGTATGTTTCATAAGATCATGGTGATGTACATTTATATATGTGAACAAATACTTCATTTCCAAACATCTTTTCCCCTTCCACTTCTTTTTCATCGAAACAATATCATACATTGATTGATGTATATATAACAGTAAAGTACTGACGTGTCTAATGAGTAACGATACTGATATTTTCATCCTTTCTTGTATGTGACTGCATCAGACTATGTGATCCTAGTCCTAGACTTCACCTCTAAACTGATGCATTGTTGTTGCTTGAAATAGGTCTTCTGTTTTATGCCATTTCAGTAGAAAGGAATGTTCTTATTGATATCCTAGCGCCTGTGGTCTATGATTGAGTTGGTCCGTTACTGCTGTAAATACAAAGTTTCTCGCCGAATTAAAATAGGAGTGCATTCTCTTTATCAACGCAAAAAATGCCCATTTTGAGTTTTGACTCATTTGTGCATTTAGGGGCTACTCCATATTCTCCTTAGTAGAATAGCACCTCCTGTTGTATTTTAAACTTTTTAACACTCCAAAATAAGTCTACATTAAAGCATCACAAGAAGCAACTTACATGATTCTCCATACCCCAATGCATCCATAAATCATAATTTTCACCTTAATCGTAAGTTCCCAACTGTGCAGGGTCAGTGGCGTGTGATTTACAGGAATTGATTTTCAAATTTCTAAAATTAGTTTACACTATTAAGTTCATGCAAAATGCTTATTGATAAAGTTACACCGGAAGACCTCATTTCTCTAACCTTCTTAGAAAGAACAATGAGACGAAATTCTTTCACCACTGGCATTTTTTTTACCTATAGTCATTTATTATTACAAGGTCGGTTTTGTAAAATCAACCTGCACAATGAAACATGACCAATTCAAGAACCCAATGCATTATTTAAGGAATGAAGAAAGAACCTTTGGGAAGTATTTATAGTTTCTGAACTTTTTGCAAAGAAATCTTAGGACAAGAAGTAAATGACTACAACATAAATTCAAGTTCATGTGGCTCTGATCCAAGTAAATGACTGCAACATAAAATTTATTTTATACAAACATAAGTTTTTACTTTGAACTTTGATCAAGTGGCTAAGAATTCAATATATCTGAAACATAGCGCGCTGCCTTCAAAACATTAGAATCACGATCTACTCATATTAGTTCTGATTTCTAAGTTCTAGATTCTAGCTAATGCTATTTCTCACAGACACTCCAGACTCTTTGGCTTTAACTGCAAACTTCACATTTGTGGCCCGTGACTCCGTTACTGGGAAATCAGCTTTAGTCAACCAAATTTCACCAGAAACTGAAGATGAAATATTGCTCTGGAATGAAGCTGAAGAAAGAAACAGAATGAGGAAGAAAATGAGAGGGGAGCAGACAAAGAAAGTTGATGTCAGAGAAGTAAATAGGGTTGATGAGTTGTTGGCCGAGGGAAGAGTGTTTTGCGATATGCCTGCTTTGGCAGACAGGGATAGTATTTTGATGCAGGATACCTGTTTGCAGAATTCCTTGATTTGCCAACCTCAGCAAAGGAATATCCATGGTCGTATATTTGGAGGGTTTTTAATGAGAAGAGCGTTTGAGCTGGCCTATGCAACAGCTTACTCATTTGCTGGGACCGCACCTTGCTTCAAAGAAGTTGATCATGTGGATTTCTTAAAACCTGTAAGTAGATTACCAATAATCCTTCTAGTTTACATTTTAAGCGTATCAAAGCTATCCATGAATTTTGCCAAAAAATTGACCGCCATATTCAAATCGAGTTTGATAGATCACCACGAAAGGAGGGGAACTGGATAAAGCAGTGAGGTGTCAACTCTTTCTGTTGGTATATATCTGAAAAGTAGAATTGAACACTTTTTATTGCATTAAGAAAAGTAGAATGTCCAACTATACTATAGGGCCTCTAGGTATGAATTGTAACCAACTCGTTGCTCAAGTGGTTTCATTTTAACACAAAACGCTTTCTTCTTTTCATTTGAAGGGGAAGAAGGATTGTTTTGTTTTGTGAATACAAAACTTCAATTGTATAACTGTATGATACTTCGGTTTTTAACATTTAATCTGTTGGTGCAGGTAGATGTTGGAAATTTCCTTCGTTTCAAATCTTGTGTTTTGTACACCGAACTGGACAACCCATGTCAGCCTCTCATTAATGTGGAAGTTGTTGCTCATGTTACAAGACCTGAACTGCGGTCCAGTGAGGTGATTTGATGTTTTTAGTGGTTTTACTTTGGTTGTTATTGATCGGCGGTTAGTCTGAGACTCTCTGAAGCGTACATGGTCAACAAGTAAGGGGGTAGAAATTTAGAATCTCATTCGTTGGTGATTATTCTGTATCACCATGCACTAAACTTATAATTTTTAGTTATTTCTTTATCATTCTGGAAAGGCGTCTTTTAGCAGCGTAGAAAACATTTGGATAGTGAAAACCAAGTAAAGAATGTGCAGAAATTATTGAACTAAAGAAAATAGGAAATTGAAGAAACTTGGGATTTTTTTTAAAGATAGAATTAGAGCTTCTAAGTTCTAACTTGAAATGTTGCTTAATAGAAAATTGTTCCTTGATTTTTCAATATTTTAGAGTGTTGATATTTCCTAAATGATTCCTGATTTTCCTCATCTTTGTTATTTTCACGATCATAGTTATTTCCTTATATCTTCTGTGGTTGGAGGATTTCAGTGAGAAGGGAAGGGAGGTAAGTGGAGGTGCTATGGGCTCCTCCAAACTTCTCAGATTTCACTCTTCCAGTTTGGGGTACTTTGGAGGAGTGGTTTTTTCTTTAATTTCCTTTTCATTGATATCACATTTACTTCCAAGTTCCAACTTTTTCAATTTTTAAAGATTGGAAAGTAATGGGCCCTTTAATTTGAGCTAGACTCTAGGCTACTAAACCTTAGTAATTTGGTTATGTCTTTTTTGTTGAATAAACTGTTACTTGTTACTATACTTTGATACCCCTCCTCATGCTGGACCATATGGAATTATGTTCAAAGTTTGATACAGACTGATCATGAAAAATGACACCGAAGACCCACAACTTCAAACTCGAAACTTGAAATGGGAAGTGGAACATCACTTGAAATGGATATTTGCCGCCCTTGAGTTTGAGTCACTCTGTCAGTGCGAGTAAAGTTACTTTGATTTGCGAAATCTCTAGCATTATCCTTCTAGTTTTTCATAGACAGACAGTCCTCTTTGTTATAGTGGATGCTTTCTCGATATAATTTTTTGGCATCCTGGAAACCTCTTTTGGGCATAAGTTAAGTTATTCAGGAGTATTTAAGACTTTAAGTAACATTCAACTCCCTAGAACTTTAACTGGAAAAATTATTATTTCTCTTAATCTAAGAAGTAATGATTGTTCTCTTTTCAAATGTGAAACTCTTTACCTATTGGCCAGTGCTATTGTAAAAAGACAAAATATTGTGTAACACGGGCTTACGCAACTCCATCTGAGAGACAGCATTTAAAGTTAAAATTAGTATTTGTGGTCTAAAACCTATCACTTGTAAATGTAGAGCTTTATGAGATTTGGTTTGTGGCATCAAATTCAATGTGGTAAGTAATTTGTCTACATTTATTTGATTCATGTAATAGAGTGAATCCCAGATGCCCTTAGATGAAAATTCAGAGCACCTGATACAAGATTATAAAGTAAGAAAGATAATAATGATTGGGCTAATCTGATTTTGTTGTGAGAGAATTCCCTAAATAGGAGTAAAAACGTTTGGAAATTCCAAAATAGGAGTATCATGTTTTTTATTCCCTGAATAGGAGTAAATTTCTGCCAAGTTTGGCATTACAAGGCTTTTAAACATGGCATTTTTTTCCAAACTTGGCAGATTACTCATATTCAGGGAATAAAAAACATGTTACTCCTATTTTGGAATTTCAAAACGTTTTTACCCCTATTTAGGGCAATTTCTGTTTTGTTGTTCCTTGATGTTGCATGGACCAAATCAGAATTAACTTCTGTATCCTCAAAGTTCTGGAAAATTCCAATTCATTATTTCCTCAAATTTGAGCTTTTAAATGAGTGTGGAGGTTAATGTTTGTTTCTTCTTCATTGTCTCAAGGTATCAAACAAGTTCTACTTTACGTTCTCTGTCTGCTCAGATGCCTTAAAAAATAATCTAAGGATTCGGAATGTTGTTCCCGCTACGGAAGAGGAAGCACGTCGTGTAATAGAGCGCATGGATGCAGAGAAATCCTTTCAATATTAAAAACTTTATGGTATTGCAACCTATGAGAATGCTGGCTGGCAGGCAGGCAGCATTGCCAGCCAATTTCTGCATGCAAACTGCCTCTGTGTTGAAGTTAACAGTTATGGCAGAATACTCCGTGTTTTTTTTTGCTCCTAGAGGAATTTTGATTATTTATCAGGCGTAACTAGCTTTGAAAAACACTTCAACCAAAGTGTGCTTGATAGAGCATATATAAGTGTTTGATACATTGATATGACACTTCAAAACTACTCTTAAATGTTACTGGTAGTTGCTATTTGCTACACACCATATGGCAGCTTAAAATTTACCGCTACTTATACGCATTAAGGCATAAGCTGGCAGCTTAACACCCCCCCCCCCCCCCTCTAGTAGTACTGTAGTGCCTACTGAAAGGGTATATAAGTAACTTAGATTCTTAACTAATGAAACCTTTTTTTCTTTGATCAAAAGCTGTGAACAATAAGCTGAAACACGTTTGCTTAATGGATGGATAATTATGTATAGCACTCCGTTGGGGTTTCCATTTTTCATTTGATTAAAAGCTTGGCCCCCCACTGTTGTGTAAATGAAAGCTTCACCTCGAGAAGATAACCATTGTTGTGTTTGTGTGGGAGTTGGTTAGTAGTTAAGCTTGAGTAGTACTCCGTAATTGGGTTGGGTTCTTGAATATGATGGATAAACATTTCCCATATTACTATCTACATACTCCAAATAATTTGAAATCTTAAATCAGAAAATATAAATTGAAAAAGTAGAGGATTCGTAAAGTTTTAATAAACAAGATATAACTGTGCAACAAACAGAAAAGGCAAGCATTACAAAATGGGACATAATGTGCAGTTGTTACTTGTTAATTGTTATTCACAAATTAATGGGACTTCACTGCAAATGATAATCTGATTGATCTGTTATGACTTGTGGTGGGCCCAAGTTGGTTAAAGTTTGGTTCAGTACTGGTCAATTCCGGAACCTTAATCGGGAAAACCGGTTTCGGCTGCGGTTTTTTAGCCTATTTAAAAATAAAGAAAAAAAATGACCCTATATTGGCAAACCAGAACCAGTTCCAATCCAGAACAGGAAATCTGGGCAACCAGTCTGGTTCTTCACCGGCCAGGTTCTTGTATGGTCCGGTCCATTGCTGAAACCATGCTATACACAACCCCCAAAAAAATACCCGAGCGAAAATTGACACATATACATACACACAGTAGAATCCTGTAAAAAGGGCCACCAGCTGGAATATTAGACCATGCAGCTAATGTTATTTGATTTTCATAGAAACAAACCGGTAATTCGGGTACACAATCGAATAAAATGGAATGACGCTTTGAGAAGCAGAACTGAGTAGAAATACACAAGGTTAAATTGCAGCCTTACAAGCAAATGTGAAATTGAAGCATTAATACAAATCACTTCTAATGAAGATGCTGTCTAATCAGAATCTGGATCAGCAAATATGATACATACATATGTATTTATATATCGAGATATACTTGGGCTGTCAGCATCATTCACAAAGCAACCAAGTTTATGACCCTTATCCTCCAATCAGTGGAATGTTCAAATACCAGAGCCATTCCGGGGGTTCGACGAGAACAATGTGAGATGGATAAAAGATGACATACAACATATTTTACAAACAGTGGGGTCCTTCACATGTGCGGCTGATACTCTGGATTAAATGCAAGAGCTTCTCTGTAAATAAGCTCCTTCATTTGTTCCTCCGTGAGAGCATGCTGCTCAAAGTCGAAGCTAAAAGGATTCATGCAACTAGGTTCGTCACTAATGTCATGAAGTGACGTTAAGTACGGGTGAGCAAGTGCATCTTCAACTGAAGCCGACAAAGATAAATGTAGGATTAGTGCATGGCAAATTTGGGCAGATATGCTCCTTACCCCCCCCCCCCCCACCCCCACCCCCCACCCGGCCGCAGGGGAAATGCATATGGATAAACCGTGCATATATAACCATACTCATTACGAAATTAGTGCAACGATAAGAATCATTGATTTCTATAAATAAATTACTCTTTGATCAGATACATATTAGGCAATTAACCTATTAGGTAAAACTAGAAAAGCTTTGTTAGTGAGTTTACACAGCAATGACTGTTAGCAGTAAGACGCCAAAATAAAACAAGTCACTACGAGTTGTGCATTTAATAGAAAAGGACTCTTGCCTACTCTGCAAGGCCATGCCTGACAGGAAATCCTTCATCTGATGAAAAATCAGGCACTACAGTGAAGACACAACCATATACGGTAATGAAGCTTTTCTACAGTTTGAAAATTTTGGAAAACTTTGAGAAACATAGACAACAAACATTTCAAGATATATCGGGAAGTATCGTAAAATATAACTAAAATCTCAATGATCTCTTTAGTTTGTTCTTAAATAAGCTCTTCAGATGTGTTCTTTTTTTCCAAAAAAATCCTCATATCGATATATTCACCTCCCCCCAAGAATTGGACACAACACAATCATCAACTTGTAGAGAAGGCGCTGGAAAAATGTTCGAAAATGCAATAAACTTTTCAACATTTCCTTGTTTCCTGTTTAAACTTTTTAAATCTCTTGAACTACATAATGACATCTCAACACACAAGCAGTTTCAGGCACACAACCACATAAATTGCAAATATATGATTCAGTTTACTATGCTAGTAATAAACCTGTCCCGAATCTCAAAAAATGAATGTGCTACAGAATGAAACTTTTATACTTGTTCTTACAGTACCAGAAAGGTAAGAGTTGGTACTCTATATCTATACATCGGACAGATATAGAGTACCCAGAATATCATGTGCTGATGACAAAAGAGAGTTACAAAAGCAGGCTATCATAGTGAGATGCTTAAATACTCGATTTGTATGAAAGAGAACCATAAACAACAAATTCAGTCCACTAGGCAGAGAATATCTAACCTGTAATTCTTTTTCTAGGATCAAACGTCAACATTTTCTCAACAAGATCTATAGCAGCTGGGTGCACTTGGGAAAATTTTTCAGTGAATGACTGGCGGCGGTAAAGAGGAAGTTGACGGATGTATCTTTTTGCATTGTCATTTAAGAACTCCATTTCAGCTTCTGAAGGAGTACCAATCAGCTGAAATGTGTACCCCTTGTCAAAAGTTACTCGAGTAAAATAAGCACATTTTAAAATTGATTTTCATTCAACATTGGAGTTCTTGTTATGTGCTACAATAAGTCACTATAAAACTTTAACAAGACAAGTTGCAATATGATCGAGTGTTCAGACTAGGGAGTTGGGATGGGACAGGATGGGATGAGATGGGATGGGATGGGCAGATAAGTGAACATGATTCAATCTTTTAACATATTATCTTCCAAGTTCCTCATGCCATCATCAAAGCCAAAACAAGATCCAGAAGATCAGGTCAATGAAGGATACCCATTCACCAGATACATAAGGAACAACAAACAATAGGAAAAAAAGAGGGCAATATGGTCAAATGTGGCAGGGATATTAAGTCATAGTTCTCAATCACTATTAAGCTATATCTTGAGCATCAGGTTTTATTACAAAATAATACTTGAGGCCTCAATTGTTTCCGGTTTAAACCTTTTCTTACAACAGAGACTAATTAATGATTTCTCTCACCGACACATCCTTTGGAATATAGTCAAGTGAAATTCTCGTGTTAGTTGCTACACCCAAGGACATCAGATCTGTCACATTGAATTTCATTAAAAACTATGATTGCTACACATTTAATATGAAAAGCATCAAAGATTGGAATCCTCTCAATGATGATCAAATTACTTAAATTACCTGAGGATCAAATTACCCCATCCAATTCACTTCACGCTCTTTTATGGTTAAATTCCTCTACCTTTGAATAAATTTATAAAATAAACTACGGCATTTCCTTACAACTGAAATGCCATTTCTTTTTCCATCATTTGCAATGGAGCCAAAGATTCACTATTTTTTGGCTTGAGAATATGATGGAATAAAGCAAAATGGCTCACTAAACTGGCTGCGCTTCTTTGTTATGAAGCAACAGTCAGTCCATGCATTTTTGGATGCGATTTTCACTTTGGGTCATCCGGAAACAGTCTCTCTGTGCTTCAGTACAGGGGTAAGATTGCGTACATCCGACTCCCCCTTACCCCACCGTAGGTGGGAGCCTTTGCGGCACTGGGGTAAATGATGACGATGATGATGAGTACCAAATCATTAATCTAAAAAATCGCAGTAATTAATTTCTTACCAGAAGACCAAATTAAGTCGAATTGACCTAGAGTACAGTAAATATGGAAAACTTAAGTGATCTAAGTACCGATCTTTCTGTTAACTGGTCATACTATAAACAATAGAATATTCAAGTTACTCCAGTGTACTCTGATCTATAAAGTAATTCACTTTAAAAGGTTTTCAATGGCATTGTCACTGTCAAGACGGCTTTACCACTGAATCTTTAAAGCTGTTAAGAGGAGCTTTTCATGTCCCATTCCGAACCCATGTTTAATTAACAATAACAGGTGGAATGGAATAAGCATGATAACAACTAATATTATTGGCATAATGATGGCAAACGGCCTATCAGATGCAGCTTGTAGTGATGGTAAATTCTAAAAAGTTTAACAGTAGCAGAAAACAAGCTTTAAGGCACAACTTGAAGTGATAGATATGATACCTCCATAAGCAGTCGTAACTGGTGCACATGATCTCTGCCAGGAAATAAGGGTTTTCGATCCATAAGTTCCATGAAAATGCAGCCCACTGACCATACATCAATTGCTGCAGTATAGTCAGAAGAGTTTAACAACAGCTCAGGTGCCCGATACCATCTTGTAACTACATATTCGGTCATAAAATCTGTTTCGGAAGTGACACGAGCTAATCCAAAATCACATATCTTCAGATCGCAATTGGCATTTAAGAGAAGATTGCTAGGCTTCAAGTCCCTATGCAGTACATTTGCTGAGTGTATATATTTCAACCCACGGAGAATCTGATACAAGAAATACTGCAGAAAAAGAGCAAAAATGAGGAAAGGATTGTTTATGACAACAATGAACACTCTACAAGTATAATATGCACTCAAGGAAAAAGAAAAATAAAGATGATAAGAAAAGACAAACATATATATTATCTTTAACCACATGTCTTGCTCATCTTCATCATCATTACTCCAGCGCCGCAAAGGCTCCCACTTACAGTGGGATAGGGGGGGGGGGGTCGGATGTATGCAGCCTTATCCCTATACTAAAGCGTTGAGAGACTGTTTCCAGATGACCCATAGTGAAAATCGCGTTGAAAATTGCATGGACCGACTACTGCTCCATAACAAAGGTGCAGACAGTTTAGTGAGCCATTTTTCTTTATT